TCAAGCATCAACTTTACATTAATTTTAGTCAGTGGCTGTTTACCATTTCGTGTTTATTAATTTGGCCACTGTTATATATGCTTTTTTTCTTAACTTTGATTGACTCTTTTGGTATCGTCTCCTTCCTTTGAAATAATGAATGTGTTGCAAAAATGTTATATAATATCAAAAAGTATTGTATTCAACTGATGAAAAGCAAGATTCATATTCCTATCCATTGTTTCATTTAGAATTCGACTAACAATATTTTTATCCAAACGTAGGTTCGACATTTGCAATATAAGTGAGACTTCAAGGACCAAAATATACAAGAAGGAATGATATTATCACGTTTAATTGTTCAACGGATACTCCGTCTGTTGGGTTAGAAGCTGAGATAATAATCAATTCAAACACATACACCATCATGAGAACCCATAATACCACATGTTTATTCTGCAGTGCAGGGAGTGGAGTGTGCGGAAGATGTTTGTCAGTGTTCAAAAAGGGGATATTGGTTTTTACACAAATACGAAGTGAATTTGGATAATGTAGAAAACAATATTTTGAAAGTAATTTTTGTAATGAAATTAGAAGCTAAAGGTGTTGATAAAATTTTTGTGAGCATTACGATTAAAAAAATAGGTATGCACTTCCATTTATACATACAGTTCTTAAAGCATACACATAAGAGGATTTGTTTGAGCGAAATTTAGACATTCAATAATGCTGGACATTACCAGACAGACATGGGCAATGAAAATAACACTCTCTGATTCCGTGCGTCCGAAACACCCTTTTTTTTAAACCTTAACCATTGATACATAACTTATCATAGAAATACCAAGATTAAAATTTTGTACACCCCACAAGCTTTATCATGAAAAGGTATCACAACGGAATTTATTATAGTCGAATTCACATATGGTCAAATTTGCCTGAAGGAATAAGTATCTTAGATTCTAATCTTAATTTATTTACGGAGAATTCAAAAATGTGTAATATAAATCATGTCAGTAGCGTAACACTGACAACTGAGCTGACGATAACCAATCCGGCAGCAAAGGTATCGACAAACGTACAAAAAAGCGGTTAATGATTAACAGCAAAAGAATAAACATAATAAACATTTCACATCTTTATATTTACCGGTGGCTGCTAATGATAATTGGATTTGATTTACCACTTACGCAACAAGTTTATACAAACAAAACCAAGACCCCCCCCCCCCCCCCCAAAAAAAAAAAAAAAAGAAAAAAACGAAAAGGAACACATAACACTTGAAAATAAGATGTACAATAAATGAAAATACAATTTCGTTTACACTATTGCTCGAATGGTGCATATTTCAATTTTTGAATGTTGTTTGATGCTGAACTTTTAATTGAACTCAGAATGACAATCATTTAATATGTACGCTTAACAGCTAACATCTACATTTTCATCATTCAGATTTTTCAGGTCCTACATTAAATGTTGGTTCCCCTCTAGTAGCTGGAATGACTGCACGTGTTACCTGTCAGGATTTGACAAACCTAAAAGATATCAATTTAGTGTGGAACTGTGTAAACAGTGGACATGAAGATGAAACGAAAACGTTAATCAAATATTTGTCAACTCTGACGTTTAAAGTAAAACCATTTTATCAAAATACAAATTGCACGTGCACTGGTAGAATTTCATGTTTCATCAGCTGTACAATTGTATGTTAACAGTAAGAATATTAAAAGAATTATCCAATTCACCTACCCTGATATAGCAAGTCAGCAATATATTGTATTCTGACTTTGATTATTTGGTTTATAATATAAATAGTGTATCTTAAGTGCGCATTAATGTTTTATTTCTCCTCAATCAAGTAGAAGCTTTAGTTGAAATTACTTTGCATCGTTGAAGTCTGTCGATTTACAGTATAAAATAAAGGCAACAGTAGTGTCAGTACTGACGATACCCTAATAGCAACAAGACACGTTTTATATCACATTTTTGTTATTACCAATACAAAATCAATCAACACAGTTGGAACTAATGAGTTCAACCTCATTATGATGTACCGTATCTCTTTTTCAGATGCACCTATATCATCGTTCTTTTTATAAGATCCCCGTATGACGTACATTAACTATATACATTCCCTATTCAGAAATGACGATTGTTTCCTTATTCTAAACCTTAATGCAAAAATATGTACATTCACTTGACAATGTATCTAACTTTCTATTCTGGTGCATTTAAGTAGAAACAGTATTACTAAAACCCATTTGTTTTAACTTAACAAACCTGTTTATAACATGTATTTGTTTCAGATAATCCTATATTGAACGCAACAAAGAATGCCAGCTGTAATATGTCATCATCAGTGCAATTGTTCTGTACACTTTTAAGTGAAGTGTCTCCATTTGGGTTCAATGCATGGAAACATCTATTCAATGGTATAGCGGTACGTGTTCCACCCGGAGTAATATGCGGGAATATGTCGATGTTGAACATTTCTGTTTGTTCTTACCAGGATGTTGGAATATACGTTTGCAGTGCATGGAACGAATTAAATGACCAAGCATACCATTCAAACAGTAGTACAACACTTACATTCAATGGTATGGACTATCTTCATAAAAAGATAATAACTAATATTTAAAGAAATCCTTATTAAGCTTTGCATCGATATCATTATAACAAATAACAAAAATTAGAAGAAAAAAAATCAATGTGCATTTGTAGTTTAAGGTAATTAACATTTTAGACTAATGTTACACAACTTTGCCGAATGTTTTGTGAACCAGAACGTAAATGTATCAGGAACAGATCCTATGTGGTTTATGTCTAACAGTCTTTAATTATAAGTGCTCTTACAAAATGCGTATCGCATTTGACTTATCTTAAATGATCTTGTAAAACAATTGAATAATTTTCTAAAACTTTAAGTTATTGATGTTGCACGAGTATAGGAATACTTTATCAAACTGACTTGTAACTATGGTAACTTCCATATCAATGGTCAATCTTTGACTCCGTCTGGTCAGTTAAAGTTAATTAAGATTATTATTAGTAACACTACGATTCCCCTCGTCATGTTTCAGATTTTGTTAAACCGATGAATTACTTGCAATCGTTATTTCGTTTCATTTCATTTTGTTTTGATTTGTTTCGGTTTTTTAAGGTCCACCAATAATTTTGTCAGCGAAGATAGTTATAGAAAATGTCGTTACAATAACAGTCAATTTCTATTCCACCAGTCATATTCAAAGACCGGTTTGGTTTTCAATGTTAGAACAGATATTTGATACAACGGGGTTCAATACAACAATCAAAAATACACCTCTATCATTACCAGTGAACAACCAATCAATAACTTGTAAAGGTTACGTTTCGAATTTGTCTATGGGAGTCTATAGAAATATGAAATATACTGTTCTTCTAAAAAATGAATTTGGTGATACAAGAAAAAACTTCGAATTGCATTCAGGTAAGCTACGCGATTATGTACATTGTGAAATTCATAATCACCCTATTCTTAAAATCAGGTTAGATGTATTTAACATTAAAGACAAGAAAATTGAAATATTCTATAAAACACCATGCGAAAAAAAAAAAAAAAGAAAAAGAAAATCTCAGTTAAGGTTATATAGGTGTCTTCCGCCAGCGTGGATCTTAAAGTAGCAGAACACAATAGGTCAAGATTTTTAATTAAGTCAGCAAATTTCGATGCAGGAATGCAATCTTATAATACAAATTTTCATTCAAATGAACAAATTTATGTGATCTTCAGTTATAATTACTCATTTTGTTGCAAAAAGAGAATGTTTATGCTGGATTTCAATTTTCTAAACTTTGTGGATGTTGTGATTGAGTAGAGGAATTTCAGAAAAGTGTAATTTATGAAGGAATCTTATATACTTTGAACGACAACATCATTTTATGTCTACCTGTGCGAATTTTAAACGCGCGATTTTACGCCAGTACTTGAAACCTTCCATCCTTTATGGGTGGATTTTACATAGATAAATAAAATCGTATAATATAAGCAAAATGAGGATTTTAAATTTGATGTATGCCTTTTTGTGCTTCTTCGTTACATTTGTTTGTTATTATAGTGACTAAGGTGATAACACAATGTTGACTGCTGTACCCCTATTTTTTACATTTTTACCTATTGTGTCTGTTTGTTTTGTTCACGCATCGTTGTCAATATAATGGAATTTGATGCGACTGACATACAAGTGAGAGGTTTAGCTAGCTATAAAACCAGGTTTAATCCACCATTTTCTACATAAGAAAATGCCTGTACCAAGTCAGGAATATGACAGTTGTTATCCATTCATTTGATGTGTTTGTTTTTTTGATTTTGCCATTTGATTGGAGACTTTCGTTTTTGAATTTTCCACGAGGTTCAGTATTTTTGTGATTTTACATTTTAAGGAAATATTTCTATATTATGTTATAGCATGGAAAAACGTACGGACACCCAATTTTTCTTTTGATAATCTGAAAGCGTTTAATAAGAGCTCACTTCTTACATTTTTTTTTTCAAAATTCTTTCATTTAGTTAACCTTCTATTCACACTATGCTGCGTTTTCTCTGTATAATTGATATTTTTCACAACATGTAGCTTGTAAAAAAGCTCAGTGACCAATCATTTTTACTATATTTTTGAACATATCACTTTATTTACTACATTTTGGCAAAGTAAATTTGTTTGGTCATTTTTCGTTTAAACTCCTATTCCACTTCGGCTTTATCAGATATCCATAGTTTAACTACACTTTTGAATTTTTATATTTTGGGCTGGGCACCACTGAAGATATCAACTATCCATAGTTTAAATACACGTTTGAATTTTTATATTTTGGCGTGGGCACCACTGTAGAGACATTTACAATCGCAATGCGTATATGTGACATTAAGTTTGGTACTTTTTGATTTTATAACAACGGACAAATGATAACTCCGAAAGACACTACACATTTAACAAGTCTGTGGAACATGAAACTCATGAACGAGTATGTTTAAATATTTGCAGATCTGATTGTATCATTTGACTTTCGATTTTGGATTTTTGGATTGTCGATCTTTGGAGAATTTTTAGTGGCAACGACAATGACTGTTGCAATTCCTAGAGGAAAACAGTATCAAAGTGAGTATATCATGGTGACGATATTTGACTAATATGTTTATTCAAAACGATTTATGTAGATGTTTATATTTTGGCATTGACCATGGTCATGCTTTTGCAAACTGATTATGAAGGCTTTACGGTAAATTCTTCGAAGGTGTTATCACTGTAAAATGAATTTTAGTCATAAATAACCACTTTGATCTGAAAATACCATGAACAGATTTTTTAAGAGTTTAAGTTGTTATTTCGGATAGTTTCTTAATTGTAAATTATAACTGAACAAGACTTATTTGATAATAATTTATTGTTTGGTCTTTTTAGACCTGTTGAAACATGTAAATGGCCTTTTCAGTTCCAGTTAAATTTTCTAGTGAATGATCTACGCTTTATTTATGATATGAAATTGGGCGTTGAACTGTTAGTAACCGCGAGAAATCTTATTCGGTACTTTGTGTCTCTTATCTTGTTCAACTTGTTCTTGTGTGAACTAGTGATTTCAGGAGATAATAAAGAAATACAAAGATGTGGTATGGTTGCCAATGTGACAACTCTCTACATGAGACCATATGACGTAGACTTAACAATAGGCCTTTTCCGAAATATTTTGATCAGTATTTCACATTGTGATGTTATCCTGTTTAAGGTCCCTGTACAAGGTTTATGGTTCTTATAGACTTTCCCCCGATATATCATTTTGATAATGAAATGCTTACCCTACTGGGGTTATAAAACCCATTTGAACATAGCAGCCGAATTCATCTAAGATCGGCTTTGCACGATGGAGTTGGAACCCTAATGTCTGAAAAATTTCTTAATTCATCAATGGGAAATTTTAAACGTTAAGGATGTTCGCTAATCTTGTTTTTGACTTTTTGTCAGATATTTTGAATCCTCTAGTTTTATCCATGTAGTGCCAATAAAAACTTTGCCCACTGACATCTACTTTTCTTTTCATAATTTTATTGCATATAGTTTTAAAAGTAATGTTTTTTTCATAGTTTTTGAAAGGAAAAAGGTGTCAATGTTACATGAATGAAAATTCTAGAGAGAACATTTTCCCGCCAAATTTTCAATTGATTATATCTCAAAAACTAGAACACGGATCTATCATTTTTTTCTAATTTTTAATTTTCCTTATTCATATTCTATCAATCTATAACAGTCTTTTAAAGACCTTGTTATTATGAAACAGAGGAGCGAACATCCTTAATGCTTTAGAACATGTCAGTACCGTAAGTACTGATCTTCTGATACCAACAAAGAGTAACAGCCCACCAGAAGTGTTATCGACCAAGTGGTAGTAAATAAGTTACAACCATATAGAATTCTGCCGTTTGAAGATCTCTTAAGGACTCACCTTCATCAGGAACGCTCACAACCTAACATTTGAAAGCTGAAACAGTTTTGAGCTTTTTCCTTTGCCAGGAACGCTTTAACCTGAACAGTTGAAAGCCATTGATGAGTAAATAAGTAGAAACGTTAGGAAATAAAACCCCAAAATTATGTACTATTTAATATATAACCAAATTTACAATTACTGAATTAGGTCAAACATCAAAATATAATACAAACAAATATCGGAATGAAAAATATGTAATACAGTCGTCATCCATTGCATGATTCAATGCATTAAAATCAAAGTGTACATATGCACATGCGCATTAAAAAATTACTGATTTATAGTAAATTTTTTTAATTTGTTTTTAACAAGAATTCCGGAAATAGCAGATAATTTTGCAAATATCAGTACTAAACTAATGGTATTCTATTTGTCCATGTACAATTCCTAGATGGAAGGACTAACAGTATATCTAAAGACAAATTGGTCAGTTGATAGTTTTCACAATTACACGATGGTATAACCAAATTTAATAGACTATCTTCATATTACCGACTTTTGACTCCGGATTATATAATTTGTCGACTGGTTACCTTGGACATCATGATACTCGGTCAAGTAAGAGCAACCAAAATAAGTAAAATCAAACATATAATCGGTGTAATTTGAGGGGAAAGTTTACTGTTTTTCCGATAATTTTGTAGTGAAAAAAAATATTAACCAGGTAATTTTCCCCCAAAATTGTACCGACTGAAAGCTTGGTTTTACTTCTTTAGCTTGCTCTTACATGACTTGGTACCATGATGTCCAAGGTAACCAGTCGACAAATCATATAATCCGGAGTCAAAAGTCGGTAATATGAAAATAGTCTATTGATGAACCATAAGCGCATTTCGAACAAAAATGTACATTATTAGTGGTCCTTTACTTAAAATATATTTTGCATAATTATGAACGCGTATGGTTCCTAGCTAACCTTATAGGATTAATTGCAAAACACACTTCGTACTTCCTGTTTTATGTTTATGTGTGATCCATATATCGCTTGGTTTAACACTTATCCGTGGTGACAATGAGCATAATTTTGGCAAAAATCATAATCAATTTCAATTTGTTGTGTCACGTATTGGACTGTAAAACACATGTAATGCCGAAGTCCAAACGCGTTTGTTTTAATATCAACAGATTTAAATGTATGTTTTATTTTCCATAGCTCAGTCGATACATTGACGTCTTGTACATTTTCTTTAATATTACAGATGTTGTTCATATTGTTGGTCCACTAGAACGATCACCAACTATTCCTATGCAAGTATCTTGATCTACTAGCATTTGTATTGCACATAGTCATAGAAGTAAATGTAGCTCAAAACTCTACAATTTGAAAGAGAGTATACAAAAGCCCCAAAGGTTCTAAATTCACAATTCGCAATAGAATTTTTAAAGTTTGATATTCGATATACGTAGTAAAATAATTAATTAGAGTCAAAGTTAAAAAAATTAGAAAACAGCTTTTACAGTGGGAGTGTGAAATTTTCTGATTTTCTACTTTATAACAGACGGAGTATTACTGAAAGAGAAAGGGGTGAAATACCATAGGGATATTCATACTCATAAGTAGAAAATAAACTGACAACGCCATGTTAATAAAAGAGAAAAAGAACAAAAGACAAACAACAGTTTACAAAATACAACATAAAAATACTAAACACTGAGCAACAAAAACCGATGTGATCTCAAGTGCTCTGGAAGGGTATGCAGATCTTTCCCCTAATGTGGTACCCGTCGTGTTGCTCATGAAACTATTGTATTACAAATTATTCTTCCAATCTTAGAGCGGAACTTATGTGTTACCTAAAGAAAAAGTGAAAGCCGCGTTGATTATACGAAATCGAAATATTTCTGCAAATTTCATTACAACTACTACTTGAATGATAAAAATGGAAACACAGTTAAAACATAAAAGATTATCTGCTTTACATCCGTATCATTTATTCTAGATTTGAAATAAGGAGATGTGGCATGTTTGTCAATGATACAGCTTTCCGTCAGAGACCAAATGACGTAGATGTGAGCAACTATAGGCCAACGTACGAACTTCAACAATGACAAAAATTCATACCACATAGCAAGCTATAAAAGGCCCCGCCATAACAAGACGTAACACAACTCAAAAAAGAGAGCCAATGGACTGATATATGAACTAATCAACAAACCAAAAAACGAATATAAGATACAACAACAAACGACAACTATTGAATTACAGGCTTCTGTCTTGGGACAGGCACATACAGAACGTGGCTGTTAACAATTAATAATTCTATGAAAATATACCTTTCATTGCAATATAACAATACTTTCAGTTATCATTCAGCTCCAGAATCACTGGAAGACGACCATGTATATGTACGAACAAATCACCAATATCTAGAGCTAATGGGAATTCCCCAGGAAAGTCATTATTCTGATATTAAGGAAGAAGAGGATGAACTTCAACTGAGTGGAAATGATGATAGGGATGATTATGAAGAAATTAATTGACATAAAGAGCTACTTTTGTAACATGTATAATACTTGTCCCTTTTAATCGCAGTTATCATGAATATAAGAAAATTAAAAAAAAAATCTTCTTGTTCATGTTGTTTTTAATTAAAAAAATATATCAAATTACAACTTCTCTAACTGAGTATTTTAACTGTTATTACCACTAAATAAATGCAAGGTTGTTTTCTAGTATTTCCAATAAGGTTAACTAGTGTCTTGCATTTGCCAATATTGCTGTCGCGTGATGGACCACGATAATTATTATGAGCCAATCGTAGTATCGAATTTTTGACAGGATATCAAAAGTAGGACGATTTGATATTTGAACGGCATAATCACCAAATCTGATAGCATATTTCGATATTTACATAGCAGGGCTTCGTGCATCTATTATGAGTCGAGTGTTGATTGTTTTTGTGGTCTGTTCTGCTGTCAAATAGTTTCTTTTCATGTAGTAAACGTAAAACGATAGGTTAATTTAAATTAATTGCTCATTCTTTGGTTTTCTATGTTGTGTTTTTTTTACCGTCGTTTGTCTTTTTGTTTTTTGCCATGATATTGTCAGTTTGTTTTTGATTAATGAGTTTGTATATCTCTCGCCTCTTTACCAGTTATAATTATGAAACTGCATTAATGAAAGATGTCGAAAAAAGAGGATGATTGACTGATGGTTTTTTATACACATGTCCATGCCTATGTAATATAGAGAAAATAAGCATTCTAGGCTCATAATATTGTAATGTACTATTGTATTATTTATTTTTGCATTTCTCTGTGCTGAGTGTTCATGCGTTTGTTTGTACTGTATTCCTGTCACGTAGTTTTGTCATTTTAGCGGTATTTATAACATAGCCATATAAGCGGGAGGTTCGGCTAGCCATAAAACCAGGTTCAATCCACCATTTTGTCTTAAAATGTCCTGTACCAAGTCAGGAATATGGCAGTAGTTATGTACAGTCCGTTTCTATGTATGTTGGCGTTTGCTTTTGTTGTAGTTCAGTGTTTCTGTTGTTCCGTTGTTTTCCTCTTATAGTTGATGTGTTTCCCTCGGTTTTAGTTTGTTACCCGGATTTTTTTTTTTTCTTAATCGAATTTTGACTATTGAACAGCGGTATACTACTGTTGCCTTTATTCATCACAAATTATATTTGTCATTATCACAGGCTCGTTGTCGTTGTCGTTTTCCGATTTATAGCTTATAAAAATGCCATTTGTTATAAAATTTGTTTTGAGATATAGCACTTCTTTGAACACATGCAGTCACCTTTGGGGTTCATATGGGTTCGCGGTAATACATTTTTATTCTACGTGTGCTATTTTATGTACTTGGTATTAACATAAAAATTTGGGTAGAAACGTGCTACTGTATAGTAAAATCCTAATGTATATATTAACGTCTTTCTCCATAACCTTTGTGTAAAGAGCAGCTTATATGTGTTTGATCACACAATTAAGCAATTTTGATTGATGATTGTGAGGTCTTGAGAACTTTGAATCCATTCGGTGCTCGTTTTCGACATTTCTCTATTCTTTTGGCAAAGATATGTGAGCTGAAAAAGCATTTATACTATTAGTATTAACTTAACCTTCATTAACAGTTTTCAGCAATTACAAAATCTCTTTTCTGGATGATCACTATTTTAAGAACGGAGAAGGTACCAATGTATAAAAAACTAGAACATTTTTAGAACTAAATGAGCACACAATAAAATAAAGGATCCGGGCAAGTTTTATTTTTTATTTTCCTTTAGTACAAATTTAAAACAAACACAGGACAGACGATTGTATTAACTCTGTTAGCTTGTGTGAGCATGACTTAAAGGGCTATAACAGTAAGAAGATACAACCTTGGATAAGTGTTTGCCAAACGTTTTTATCAAATGATTAATTGTTGTTTTCTTAACATTTAATTGCAATTAGGTCATGCATATTCTGCTTCAGTTCGACGAAAAAGTAATGATTAATACCATAGTTACAGTACCAATATATATATCGGTACTGGCATAATATACTGGATATTGTTAAGTTGACTTCCCTTTAATTTGTTTTTGATTGGGGGTTGTATCTCCCTCTCATCCTTTTGTGAGCTTTGACTAAAATATTTGTTTTTTTATATTATCAAGACTTTAACGTTTGTATAAGGTTTTAGATTTCTAAATATCTTGTCCGGAACACTGCCGAAGAGATATTCATTGTCGAAATGTTCTTCTCGTGTTGTGAAATTGGTACCGTTAGTGTTATTACAACTACTGTGTACATTGTAGATACCTCGAGTGCTGGTATTCAGCTTATCCTGAAGATAAATCTAGATCATTCGTCAGTGCTTCGGTATTGGCAGGAAAATACGAACATTCCTTTATTGATTTTTTTAAATCAAGGAAAGTATGTCCCACACACATAGTCTAATTCTTGTTCGGGTTTGTCATTTCAAATATTTTGACCTCGAGCATCACATAAAAGGTATTTGACGGAATGTTTATATGGTGCAGTTAAATGTACCCCTTAAGCCTTTTTATGCCATATTTTTCTCAAGTTCAAACTCCCAAGTAAGAACTTTTACTCCACCACCATTATACATATAAATAAAAAGATATCAACCTAGATCTGATAGCTTTCTCGAAAACAGAATACTTCACAAAGAACATAATGATAGGGAGAACAGGACGTGCAATATTTTATCAACTGAAAATTACATAATCTTTATACAGGTCTTGAGGGAAGTTTACAATACAAAACAGAAGTAATGTCTGTTGTTGTAGATAAGATCATCATAGATACCAGGATTACAATTTTGTTTGCCAGATGCCGAATACGATAAAGATTGTAGGTTTTTAAGTTCAATCAATCACCTGTTTTACTTTTGAAATGTCAGTAAAAGATAGGAAACACACATAACTGCACGGTGTCATTCCTGCCTATTCACGAACCACAAACAGAAGGTATGTAATTATTCATGTTGCAAGAAATTCTGGTCATGTGAAGATCAAAGTAAAAGCGAAACTAATGAGGAAAAAAAAATACTAATGGAATATTGGAAATATATATACGAAACTACAAGTGATTGCAAAAATGCTTTCAAAAATCATTAAACTGATTTAAGATGAAAACAGCTTAGACCTTATTCATTGTCTCTGAAAAAAAATCTGAACGTACTGTAATACTTATTTGATAGTTATACAGTACGCACCTTTTCTTAAAACGCCTATTACTTCTAGATCTTTTTTACTACACACGTTGTTTTTATTTTTTAATTTCAATAAAATTTCCTTGCCTAATCTAAGAGCAGTAGCGACCACGACGATGACCTCGACAACCACTATAACCACCACCTAATCCTCAACATCTTCAAAAAACAAAAAAAATCTTTTTGCGATAATATCACCATTTATCACCCTGGGAACAACATCTAAGGTAAACAAATGGTAAATACACATGAAAATGAGGAAATAAGTAAGAAACTGCAGCTGCAAAGAGTTCGAAAAACTTTTGTCACGACTTAACAAGACTGTCCTAGGTATGGGAGGGTTGAACGCTCACAATAATGTTTAACTCCGCCACATTCTTAATGTGCCTATCCCAAGTCAGGAATCTGTAGTTCTGTGGTTGTCGTTGGTTCATGTCTGTCATATTTGTTTTTGGTAAATTGTTTTGTTATAAATTAGGCCGTTAGTTTTTTCAATTAAATTGTTTCATATTGTTGATGTCGGGGCCTTTTATAGCCGACTATACGGTATGGATTTTCTAATTGTTGAAGGCCATACGGTTGCCTATAATTGCTTACATCCACTTCATTTGAATTTTGGTGGATAGTTGTCTCATTGGCAATCATACCACATCTCCTTAGTTCTATAACATGTATAATGAATGCATCCGAAACTTTTTAAATGTAACGACAGTAATTTTTCAATAAAGAACCGTTGTTCAAAAGCCTTCTTGTTAGCAACAAATGTTTATCATGGGACATTTCGATAAAAAACCCCAAAGCTGAGAGAAACAACGATGTAGTGTTTTTTTTTGTCAATTTGAACCAGAAAAATTCATAAAAGTAGTTAAAGTTGCTTTAAGTTTAGAAAATTTACTATGTTTTTTTTCCGGGATTTTTTGCATGGGTCCTATTAACCCTCCCTCCTGAAAAAATATATTTTGGACAAGATTAAGGATTTTGAAATTAACATTGACCGATAGAAACTAACTTGCAAATAACTTAGATTTAGATTAAGTAACAGACATTTACGCATCTGCATCTATATGCACTGCTACCACCTGTTATGACTCATCAAACAATAATTTAAGGAGTAATGTAACGTGTTTCAATTAACAGACCATTTGACCGTGTCTTGCAATTAGAGTGTAACACTAGCTTATTGTTGTTGGATTTATTTTGCTTTATCTAATATTTTTCTGTATGCAGAACTATTGTTGTTGATTATATGTCAGTATTTTTTTTATGTTTAGTGTGTTCATTCTTCTTCTTCTGATTTATTCTTTTCTTCCACTTCATTCTCCCTACTTAATAATTGTTGGATATTCGTTTCTAAGTCTGCTGGCTGTTCATTTTGTTCACCTAGTGTAAATAGAAAATGAATAGATAAATGATATTATTCACTACAACGTTAACTTACCACATTGCGAAATGATCGATTTTTGTCTGAATTTGATAGAATTTTATCTTAATATCCCGAAAAGAATGAAATTGGTCTGAATATGTTGTAACACATTTCTAACATTTTTAATTTTCATTTAATTTTCTAAACACATTCTAGACATTCTGAATTAGTCTAAACAAATTCTAAACATGATTGACCTATTTTAACAAATTATTAACATTTTAAATTTGTCTGAACACATTCTCAACAATCTTAATTTGTATAAATGTATGTTTGTTATATCCGTTCAAAAATCTGTGTGGAATTTCAATGAGAGAACAACCTTTCAGTGTAATCCGAATTACACAAAAAGAGGTATATGGCAGCCATAACACATAACACTAACCACAAATACTTAGTTTACATAGAAATTCATATTGAGTATACAACAAATAAGGGGATTCTAGAACTCATAACTGGGTCAGCCGCTTTGCAAAATTAGACTCGAATAAAATGCCGCGATGCAGAATAGATCACAATCACTTAATTAACAGATTAGACGATTGATGTTTTTATTGGTCTCTTTTCTTGCCATTTGGTCGTTTTTCGTATTTTTGCAAGGGCGTTGTCAGTTTGTCTATGACTAATCAGTGTGAGTGTCCCTTTCGTATTTTACGTTTCGTTTTTATAATATCTAACATCTTATATCTTTTGAAATGTCTGTTACGAGTCGAAACAAGACGTTCGGTGTCTGTTACCTAATAACTTTGTAACTTTGAAACTTGTGTAATGTTGATTTCAGTTTTTCTTCCGTTCAACCCAATTGGACTAGTTTTTGAGTTAGGAACAATATACCTATTATGTATATGTCTTATAAAAATCATTGTGATGAAAACGAGTTGCTTACAGAGTAAATACAAACCTGTTCTTGGAATCAAAAGACATACTACAAACATAAAGACCATACAAACGCCAAATATAATGAAATATTCTTTATCTGAAATACATGATTTAGTCAGAATCAATCCAACGAATTAGATAGGCTAAAACTATAAGCCTTACATATTTCATAAAGGCTGGTGGTATAGGAGTGAGACAATTCATTTTACTTTATACTTTATACTTTATACTTCAATCTTTAATGGATATACAATGTATGAGTTACAAAGGAATCTGTTATTTAAAGCGCTTCGGACTCTCGAAATTACCCAAAGTGTAACTTTCGATTACTATTTTATAAAAAAACAATAACCGTAGAATTGTCAAATTGAAATTGAATTTGTCGATTTCAGTAGACGAAAGGCGAAAGAGGAGTACACAAAACACAACATTGAAAATTGCAACACGAACCCCATCAAAAACTAGGAGTGACCTCAGATGATCCGGATGGGTAAGCAGATCCTGATCCTCATGTAGCACCCGTTGTGTTGCTCGTGTAAGTACAAATCGGTGTTAATCTAATTCGGTAGGTAACATTCGGAGAAAGGGGGACGGGATTTTAGTTACTACTATTAAAACATATCCCACGTCATCTGTGGAACAGATATCCTATAACGGTCAACCAACTCGTGATGGCGTCTGTAAAATTTACGAAGCGGTGATTTCAACTTCAAATAAATCTATGGCATGCATGAAATATTTCCCAAATATCCTCCAGAAAAATGTGTTTAATCCTAATATATCTCAACCCAAACATTTACAATTTTTATTTATAATTTATAAACGTTGGCAATTTTCTCGTCAAATCAACAATTCACATGACATAACGAATTAGTGAGCCACCGTGTTGACAACACCTACCTAAAAACTCCTTTTTAATGAAATAGTATCCGAATTTGGAGAGTAAACGTATCTGAATAACGTATGACGTCGTGTTTAATGTTTATGCTCGATCACCAGTCATGGATTTACCCGGAAATTTATCTTATTTTACCTTTTTTCTAATTTCCAATGCACATATTCTTGTTGTTATGCATTCGAATATGAATAACAGTTCTGTATTTTATTTTCAATTTGAATTTAGACAAGACAATAGCCATAATGTTTTCACATAGGTTCCTATACATAGGGATTTATGTCGAAGATAGACTCTATCAGCCATAAATATACATATCTGTAAATGCGTGCTAAATATAGATATTTCGAAAATTTCATCACGCTGTTGTTTACAATGCGAACGAAGCACGTCATATAAGAATTGTCACCAAAAGTGTTAATGCCATCGTTTACCTCTTATCCCTTATCAACTATTAAAATCTAAAAAGAACGTCGATCATACTTTAAAGATATGTCTTTTCTTTATACTTTTACAACACATTTGGCGTGTATAAACACGTGTTGCAGTGTCTAAATATATATACGACTAAAAGTTAAACCTCTTTACTGTACCAGATCTTAATTAAAATATATTGTATACTTGTTGTCATATCGTTACTGGTGACTGTAACTTTGTCAATAACAAAAACCATCATAGATACCAGGACTAAAATTGTGCACGCTAGACGCGCGCATCGTCCAAAAAAGACCCATATGTGACGCACGAACCAAAAAAGAAAAATAATCTAAAAAAAGAACGAATTTGAAAAGTACCTATGACCAAAAATTTCGAAAGTTCTTGAAAAAAAAACAGCCAATGCAATCTGTTCATAGGGTAGAATAACTTAAGTTTTTCGAAAACTATAAAGATTTGTAAACAGTTGATTTATAATAAGGATTTTATATTTCCATGATAATGCATGTCAATACAGAAGTGATTACTACTGAAAGGGGGATATTTTGTTTTCGACTTATGAGTTTGAATGTCCCTTTGGTATATTTGGCCTCTCTGTTAAATCAGACAAATACCACCCCCCACCCCACCACCCCCCCCCCCTTCCCACCCCCTAAAAAAACTCAATTATATAGAAACAGTCTTGGAATGTTAGGAGATGACATATTCGTATAGAAGTGCACAAAAATTTAACTGTTAGAATAGAAAACTGACATCCCCGATCCACTATTTATATAAAGTAACTAATTCATTCATTCATTCATTCATTCATTCAATAGATATAAGAAGATGTGGTATGAGTGTCAATGAGACAACTTTCCATCCAAGTCACAATTTGTAAAATTAAACCATTATATTTCAAAGTACGACCTTCAACACGGAGCCTTGACTCACACCGAACAGCAAGCTATGAAGGGCCACAAAAATGACTAGTGTAAAACCATTCAAACAGGAAAACCAACGGTCGAATCTACATAAAAAAAAAAGAAACGAGAAACACTTATGAACCACATCAACAAACGACAACCACTGAACATCAGGTTCCTGACTTAGGACAGGTGCAAACAAATGCAGCGTTTTAATAGGCGCCAACCTTCATCCTACCTGAAACAATAGTGTATATAAACAACATAGAAAGACGAACTATAATATATCAATTAAAATGGCTTAACTCAATCAAAAGACATATTAAAAAAAACAAGTGAACATACACTGAACGAATAAATTTTATATATGACACAATGTAAATACAAAATTAATAAAACAAGGGGGTTAGATGTTTAACAATATCGGAAAGACAACCATGACCTTGGACAAATTGCCGCCAAATAAAATAACGTATACAGGTAAGGTATACATAGAGTACGGAATAATAATGTTTACAAAATAAATAATTTTGTTGTTCCTAGTACGAGAACACGAGTGAGAATTTTTCGTCATATTAAACACTTATCAAATGTGGCATATATTAAAAATAGTGAGACTAGATATAACATTGAATAAGTAAACATTAAATAACAAAAACACATTACAAGTTGTATCGACAGGTCAAATTAACACGAAAGTACGATTTGAGAGTACTCGCAATTACTGAAAGCTAGTTAAAAGCCAAAAACAATTGATAATAAAAAAAAATCATGCATCAGAGACTAAAATCAACTAAAGCACATCCCAGGGATTTAGTGTTTTAACGTCATGGACAGTTCAAGTATACATATCGTGCTTATTTTCCCGTGTATTATACCAAATTCCAACGTTATATCCAATGAAAATCCTTTCGAAACAGGCCTATAGTCAAAATCTACCAGGAAATATAAATAACGCTGTTTTAACGACATCTGCTTACCCTTCCGGATCACTTGAGATCACCTACGGTTTTTGGTCGTGTGTTCTTCTTGCTCATGTTTTAGTTTTACTTTTTTGTGTCTTGTATATACTGTTGTTTGTCTTTTGGTCTTTTTTCGTTTTTTTGTAATTGCATTGTCAGTCCCATTTAGACTTGTGAGTTTGATTATCCTTTTTGTATCTCTCGTTTTTACTTTAAATTTTTTTAATATTGATCACGAAGAGATTTTATATCTATGTCAGAATTGAATGTCATTTTTTTAAAACTATTAATGTAAGCTCACCTTTGCAACAATTTTCCAGTAACCCACTCACATAGGGAATAATAATGACGAGAACAATCAATGATATACCAATGGAAAGTTTCGTAGCTGAAACGAAAATCTTCTAATTAAAGAACAATAAAAATGACAATGAAATGTGCGGTAAAATAAATTCTTTATAGTTATTCCTTAAAAAAAAAAGAGAAAAATCGCACGGTAGTTTATGGATGTGAAAAATTGCATTTTTTTTGTCAATTAATGTATAGAACTTAGACGCAAAACAAAATGTCTGAGAAAATAATTTGGTTTACAATAAATAATGCATCGAATTACATCATATCAAATATCCTGCTGACTATGAATAACATAAATCGTTTGAGAATAGATTTTCAATTATATTGATATATAAACCGAATTTAATTTTACATTTTTTATTTATAAATTTTTAATTGGGTCTTATTTTGTGTTTTTGAACAAGCACATATTCGCTTGTAATAACAAAAATTTACTGAGTATGGTTTTTCATCGCCAGTGATTAACAATTTCTTGACGCAAAACCTTCAGCAGAATCTTTCAATCTAAGCAGATGTATATTAATTTATTACGAGTAATAGTTTTCTGTTTGGTTTTAGAAAGAAACATAAAAAATAAATTACCAAAGTAGCATTTTGTTCTACAGATGCAACACCTTCCACGCCAATCTGCTCTAGTGTAACCTCTTGTTGCTAAAAGAGAAAAATAGTAAATGTATTTTTATTATTTCAAATACTAGAAATATTGTAGTAGCAGATGTAAATTGGAAAAATTTACTTTGCCAAAGCTCTAGATACGTATCAAATTTATTCATCTGAAAAGAAATTAATATCATAAAAATTCATATAATTTACGACATAAAAAAAAATCAAGAAAACAAATTAAGTAACAACACGTTGTATAATAAACATTTTATGATATCTGTGATGATTAAGACTAAATCGAAACAAAATAAACAGCAAAATTCATAGCATATCAATTCAGAATAAAATTGAACAGTTTAAAACACAAGGTAATTTATAAGTTTGAGACATTAAAATATATGTTGAAGTTAGCATATGAATATCACAGTTTGGTAACCATTATTTGAATGAAAATGAGTAAACCTTATAATTTTACTTCATAGTATACTCTTTTATTGACGGGAACAATTGTAGATCTGTCCGACTTTAAGAATGTAATTGATAACCACCGATGATGACGATCATATAATTCCACTTTTCAGTGAAGAGGCCCTTTTAAAACTAAATATTTAGAAAAAAATTATGTCGTTAAACAATCTAAAGTAAGTATTCATTTGGATACAAAATGAATTATTGACTTTATCATAAAACTAATAGATAAAGTAAAAGTCATGGAAAAATTTAGGACTTAGTTTATGTAATTGAAGACGAATTCATATATGGTTACAAAATACTGAAAATATGACATCGGAAAAAATGTCCAGTACACAAAGTAACAATAGTAATCAATGGAGTATATCTAATTTACCAAATAAATAATAGTACGATAAATAAATGGAATATTTTGTTGATATATGGATACATTCTATTTCCCTTAAAATGAACGGATGGGGTATTGGGTTATCAGTTTAACTTAGCATTAGGGTAAAAAAAAGTGATATCAAAAGTACTTACTGATATTGCACTGACATATTTTGAAAACTGTCCTCAAAATGAATACTATAACTACTCCTATCATAACGCCGATGAAAGTCCATGCCGTATATTGCTCAACACAATTATCTTAAAATAGATGAACCAAAATATCAGATTTATACGAGAAAAAGCGATATATACAATTTAATGCAAAACTATCTGAGATAGTTTCATAAAACAATCTAAAATGTAAAATTTAAATCTAATTTTAGTTTTTGAACAGTATGAAAAACATGCTAGTAAAATAAAAAAAAAGAATTGTTGTCCCTTTATTTATCAGAATTCATTACAAACTTACGGCATCTTTTTTCATAAACGGTTATTTATTAAGGTTATTTATACATATAATGATTTGGAATCTAATATTTGTTTAACATAACATATTATCGATTGCTTTGTACATGCTTCAATGTGTAAATAAACTCATCATAGATACCGTGATTAAGATTGTGTACGCTAGACGCACTTTTTTGTCTACAAAAGACTTATCGGTGACGCTGGAATAAAAAAAAAAAAAGATTAAAAAAGCCAAATAAAATACGAAGTTGACGAGCAATGAGGGCAAATATTCCAAAAGGTTTTGCCGTAAACATCAAAGGTTATCTATTCCTATAAAAGGGAGGCGAAAGATATCAAAAGGGACATTCAAACTCATATGTCGAAAATAAACTGACAACTCCATGGCTAAAAAAGAAAAAAGACCAACAAACAAACAAACAATAGTACGCAAACACAACATAGAAAACGAAAGACTAAGCAACATGAACCCCACCAAAAACTGATCTCAGGTGCTCCGGAAGAGTTAGCAGATCCTGCTTTACATGTGGCACCTGTAAGTAGTTGTAGTTGCGACATTTGGAACATATCCGCTATCATCTCTGAAACGGATACTCCATAACGGTCAACCAACTTGTGATGGCGTCCGTAATATTTATGAAGGAATGATTTCAATTTCACCACTAAGAACTCTTTGTTTAATAGCTTCCTTGTGAACAGCGACCCTCTATCAAGGAAATCATGATAGGAAATACAATATCGTATCAACTGCTGGAATGTTGCTACATAGAAATGAAAAGTTCACAATTGAGAAGCTGAAATCTCTTTTGTCGTAAAGTTTTGTTTTCAACCGACCCTCATTGTCAATTTCTAGATGTAAGTCAAGATATGTGGCAGACTTAACTGTTAAATCATTTATCTCAAGTTCGATGGAATAGATGCACTTAACAAAATTTCTAAATTTTAAATTAATTAGTGAGAGAACAACATTTATATAGCGGAAAGTAAAGTTAAAGGATACTGCTAATTTACAGCCTCATATGAAAAATGGAACAAGTCGGCAAAAAGAGGGACACAGTTTGCTCCCATGGGAATGCCGATTGTTTGTAGAAAAACACGTCCTCCAAACGTAATAAATATGTTGTCAATCAAGAAACCAAGCATCTTAATAATGTAAGTTTCATAGAATTTTTTGTTTGAATCAGAGTGTTTTTTTACAAAGTAGGATTTATCCCTCCCTAAGACATGATACTTGTTGGTCTTTTTTTTTTATAAAACAAAGCAGGGCCAACTCCTTCAATTTGTCTTTCAGTTTGGAATTGGGAATTCTTGTGTAAAGTTTAGAAAAGTCAAATGTTTTTATCACTAATGCAAGATGAAAGAGTCTTAGATTGTGTGTTCTCTTAAAGATCTTTAGAATTTTTTAGTATCCTCATCTGATTCACGCCACCTCTAGAAAAGGTAGTTTCACAATAACTTTGAAACCAGGCTTTGATTGCTGATAACATTGATGTTAATAATTTAGAAAGAGGTTTTTCGGAGCACTTGGAAGACCCGGCAATATACACTTATGTAGTTTAGGTATCCAATACAGTGATGGAAGATCCAGTCCTTCATCTTTGGTTGAAATTCTAAAGGAACATATAAGTGTTTGGTATTACTATACATTTTCACTTCTTTGTACTATGAACATCAACATTATTTATTTTGTAAAAATATTTCCTTTCTCCATTTGAACTGTACGTATACCTAACTACTTCTTCTCTGGATCTTTAAACCTTTTATAGGGTAACTATACTTTCGTATGTCGAACAGTTCCACCACCAAAAAATAAACGAAAAATAAATTAACAATCATAACACAACAAAATTATATACACTATTTACATTAGGAACTTTTAAGTTTTTATGACTTTTTACATGGGAAGTTTACAGTTTTTAAGACTTTTTACATGCGAAGTTTAGAATTTTTATGATTTTTTGCTTCGAGCAGTCTAGATTATTTTGGTCTACTGATATTTAATGTGATAACATTTACAGATTAAATCACAGGTTTACTTTTTAGATAATTTACAAAAAGAAAAAGACAAAATTTATGGTCTGTGACATTAAAAATTCACCTTTATATCTTTAAAGTTAATTTGACACTAATTTATTTACTATGAATTATGAGAGTAAATAGAAAAGTTATGTTTTTAAAACTATTTAAAGTTAATTCACAGAATATTTATTAACTGAGACTTTTAGATTTAATAAGAAGAATTATACTTATTAAAAATTGTATTAAATAGACTAGATTTTCAAATATTTGTTTAATTATTCATTGCTGCCCCTCCCATCCTTGCACCCACTCTCATGCGTCCTTTTTCTTTGCTTGGTCTTTCATCACCAGTTGATATCGTGCATTGTGTATGAGAAACAGTAGCCTTCTTGATTGGAATTCTATTTGAGACATCAGGTCAGATGTGACTCTGTATATCTTTTGTATTTTTGTAATGTCCATTAATACTTGAATTGTCATTTCACATGTAAGGTCTTCTTCACGGGGTTAGGAGGTTCTTAATTGTTTGTAGAATTCCTCGCTTCACATTCTATAAGCAAATGTTCTAATGTTTCTTCCTTACAGTTGCACGCTATACAATGATCTTCAGTTCCTTCTTTGTATATCTTATATCTTAAAGGTTGTAGCGTATAAGTTCCAGTTAATGGTTTGATCTTGGTATGTACTATCTTGCTGTCTCTTGGAGATTGGTGCTTGATTCGCAATAATGGATGTATTTTCCCAGGCATGAATATATCACTGTTAAGGTATGGAAGGCCGGTATAGAGCTTAGCTAAAGATGTGATTCGCTCAATCCAGTAGGCATTGATCCCTTTTTTGGCTTTATTTAACAGTTCTTCCTTTTTCATCTGAATATCTAGCCACACAGTTGCATTTCCTAGATCATATTTTAGCATAATTTTTTTTTACTTCAATAAACCAGCTGTTTCTATTCATTGACTTGATGCACAATTGCCTCCTTGCTAGTTGTTTTTCTAAGCTTTCGTTGGGTTGGGTACATACATTTATGAAGAGGGTCATAACCTTTAAGTGTATTTGTGTCGCAACTGGTAGTATTCCCGTCAAGATGTTATTTGCGGGATCTGGTGTATTAGTTGGTAGTGACACTAGTTGCTTAAGCATTTTCTTTTGAAATTTTTTCAATTTCTCCAGATTAAGAGATCGTGGTGTTAATAGATAAGATGTAGATTTTATACAGGTGTATTATAGTTTCCATATCCAGTCCATTTTCACCATGGAAGCCACTGCCAAGTAGAGCATAAGCACTTCTCCTTGATTTTTTTATATTCTCCTCAATATTTGCTATGATATTTTGCTTCATAGAGTTGGTTCTGATTATTCCTAAATGCATAGCTGAGTCAACTCTTAACATAGTAGCTTCATTCAATGTATATTCTTTCAATAGCGTTTTTTTCCTTGTTGGCTTAGATTTGATGATTATAGCCACGCTTTTTTTTTGCTGTAGTTTATATCCCTCCATGCCGGCAAAGGTGTTTGCCATATTGATTTGTACTTGCATATCGGTTGTCTTTTTGTTCATGAGTGCGACATCATCTGCACATGCGCTAGTATTGCAGAGTATATTTCCAATTCTACATCCTAAATTTGATGTTTCCAGCATGTTGAGTACTAGATTGATCTAAAGCTTGTATAGGTTGGTACTTAGGATCTCTCCCTGGCGTACTCCTTGTAGTACATTAAATAGCTCGGAAGTTTGGCCAATCCATTTAACTGCACTTGTTGCATATGTGTGCATTCTCTGAATGATTGTCCAGTGTTTATCATCGATTCCCGCATAATAGAGCCTCTTCATAAGATGGGAATGTAGAACTACATCAAAGGCTGATTTTGCGTCCAGCAGTACAAGTTCATAATCTTGATTGTTATCTTTGGCTTCACGGTATATTTCTTCAACCGGTAAGGCTACATTTGCTGGTCCTGAGCCTGCCGTAAATCCTCGTTGAGTTACATTTTGTGTTGCAAGTACTGCGTGGTTAATCCTTACTTTTACAATTGTTTCTATCACTTTGTTTAACACAGGTAGTACAGTGATTCCTCTGTAATTAGTTGCTATGTTTTTCTCGCCTTTGTTCTTAAACACGGGGGTTAGTAGTCCCTTCTTTAGCATGTCTGGCACCTTGCCTTCTTTGAATATTATGTTGATGAGGTTCAGCAGCAACCATTCCAAATTTTTTCCTGCATGTAGTATATGTTCGACAGTGATTCCATAGATATCAGCTGATTTTCCTTTATTAATTGATTTGATCGCCTTTTGTAGTTCTTCTAGTGTGGCCGGTGGTGTATTCTTATCTTTCACTGTCTCTGTAATTAATCCTATTTCATATTCTACTTCCTGATGATATTGTCTATTCTCTAAGCCTGTAGATTCCTCTGGAGTTGCTAAGTTTCTAATGTGCAGTTTTAAGCCTTCATTGATGATGGCATAGTTTTGCATCCTTTGTTTTTGTTTCCATTATACGTTGTTTCTCAGTATCTTTGACTTTAGCATTTTCAATTCGCACCTGTCGCCTAAATTCCTTTTTAGTCCTCAGTCTTTGTTGGTATATATTATTTTCAGGGTCCTTTATTTTTCCTTGCTTGACCAATTGCGCATAATATTTACGCATCTCATCTAGGGCTAACCTTATATCTGGAGACCATACATTCAGTTTCGGTTTTGCTTTGTACCTAGGCTTGTTTGAGGCACATGTAACTGCATCATCATTTAGAAATCCATGCACCTGCTCTAA